CCCCCCGGTCGTCTACAGACAGCCGCCTGGGAAGTAGGCAAATTGTGCTTCAAAATCCCTGTATGGAGGCCACCTCAAGTGCCCCGCCCCTTCTTTCAGTCTGGCCACAGTACCGTGCGGAGCACAAGCAGGAACTCACCAGAGCGAGGGCAGCAAACGCCGCGATGGCGAGGGTCTTCTGGTTCGCCATTGTAAGGATGCTTTTGAGTAATAGCAATAGTAGGTATTCCCAAATTAGGGCCGTTTATATAGAAGTGTGCAGGCTGGTATAGGTTTTACTGTTGAAACAGCTGTGTAGGTATCAAACATATCACGCCACGCGCCTCACGACGATCGACAACTCGCTTGGCCCGATGCACGTGGCGGACAAGGGGCACAGGTGTCTTTTTCATTGAATCATGACTGAACAGATTACTTACGCGCATTGATAAATATGCCCCTTTCATATTTTTTCATACATTTTTTTTTCTGTTACCGGGTGTATCAGGGCGGACTACGTGCAGTGCAGGTTTGCCTACTCCCCGGCACGTAAGCCGCCATGGGCCCCTGTGGCCCTAGAGAGTGTGGAATCCCTCGAAACTTTAGGCTGCGGCATCCGCTCTATACCCGGTAGATACAAGACTATTGCAACTTATTCGTTTAGCGTATGAAGTGCCCCACCAATAACGTCATTCGCTCTCATTAGGCCAGGGCTGCATTGTACTCGTCTAACCGATTAGACTATTGCGTGCTCTGTGTGCCACCTGGCCACCTGACACGACCGACTTATCCATTCGAGATAACCACTGCGTCGGTCAACCCGCCTTTGTTGACCCTCCTCCCCGCCGCTTCTCTCTTGAGAGAGAGAAAGAGAGGAGCCTCTCGCAGTTGGGCTGCGGCGGCAGACCACACCGCAACAGACACAGCCGGGCGATACGATGGTGTGGCTGGAGTGGATGCTACCGGCCCTGGGCGCCCTCGCCGCGCTCGACACGAAGACCGCCCTCCAGGAGCTAGCCCCGGGCGTCCTGCACGGCCACCCCAGGGGGACGGTAAGCAGGATCCTGCCGGCGTGGTGGTGCGAGGAGGCCACGGGACTGGGACCCATCTGCGCGTGTTGCAGTACGCGCTGCTGACGGCGCAGGGCTTCCCCGTGGAGCAGCACACGGTGCGCTCGGCGGACGGCTACCTGCTGGGCCTGTTCCGCATCCCCCGACCGGGCCGGCCCGCCGTGCTGCTGTACCACGGCCTGCTCAACTCCTCGGCGGACCTGGTGCTGCTCGGCAGGGGCAGGGGGCTGCGTAAGTCTCGGACCGTCTCGGATGCCACGCCACAACCGTGCCTCACCCTGCCGTACACCACCCCACCACCCCGCTGTTGCAGCCCAGCTGCTGTTCGCCGCCGGGTTCGACGTGTGGCTCGGGAACGCCCGGGGGACGGCGGCGTCCCAGCGGCACGAGCGCCTCAGCCCCGACCAGGCCGCGTTCTGGGACTTCACCTGGCACGAGATCGGGGTGCTGGACCTGCCCGCCGTCATCGACTACGTGCTGAGCGCGACCGGGCGGAGCGCGCTGCACTATGTGGGCCACTCGCAGGGCGCCACGACCTTCTTCGTCCTGGGCAGCGAGCGTCCCGAGTACATGGACAAGATCGAGTCGTTCACCGGCCTGGCGCCCGTCGCCTTCCCCAGGGACATCCGCTCCGTCCCGTTGGGACTGCTCGCGCTCATGCCAAACTTTTTGAGGGTAAGTAGGCAAACGGCGCGGCACCTGGTGCCACGGTCGGAGCGTTGGTCCGGGCGCGGTCCACCGAGCCAAGCGCCTGCCAGGCCAGGGTAGGCAACACTGCATGGCACGGGAGCCGCGCGGGTCGGCCTACCCCAGCGGTGCCAGGCGCTCCCCACGGGCCGGAGTCTGGCCGGAGGGCGGCACCTGCACCTGGTGGGAGGGAGAGGGGACTGCTGCTTGCTGGCTTTACCTTACTCCGTGACCCGAGTAACGGTCCGTAGTCTCAACCCCACATGAGGGGTTGAAGGCTTCACACCCACTCATCACCGCTGTTACTTTCCCATCCTCAGTTCCTCCTCTCCCTGCTGAACATCCACAAGATAGGGGACAACCCTGTCATCCCTTGGTTGGGCGACAATTTCTGCAGCGACGGCAAGCTCACGCAGCCACTGTGCGCCGGCACCATGTTTTCTATCGCCGGCTGGGACTTCGAACAACTAAACATGGTAGAATGCATCCCCATCGCGTATTCTAACTTATTTAGCTGGTTTATTGGCGTGTTCATGCTGAGGAGTGCGGTCTCTATGCCACCGTAGACCATGATGCCGGAAATATCTGCGAACTCCCCGGCCAGCGTCTCTGTGAAGCAGATGGTTCACTACGGGCAGCTGGTGCACCGTCGTGAGCTGGCATTTAGGCAGTTCGATCTCGGCAAGTCTGGAAACTTGAAAAAGTACAACGCGACTCGGCCTCCAGACTATGATCTTAGTCGAGTACGGGCTCCGACCCACATCTTCTACGGAGCCAACGACCTGCTGTGTGTTCAGTCGGTAAGTCACCACGTCGCTCACCGATAGGCGCCTTACGACGCCGTGCAAGTATGCAACCCGTCCGCACGCCTACATCCGGTACAGTATTACCAGAAGAAAGAACGGAGCTGATGCTGATAGACCACCCCGTCGTTAGAAACAGACTGGGTACAAAAAGAGTGGGATAGTGGGGCACACCTGAATACAAATTATTTATTTTTCGTTAAAAATATGAAGATTTTTATTATTTTCATTATTTTACACTTTCTTCTATCGTTGAGATATTTGCTTGTCTTCACAGAACATCGACGAGCTTGTCCACCGGTTGCCTAACATCGCTGCCGGGGGAGTGCACAAAGTACCTTTCGACAAGTTTACCCACTTGGACTTCCTCTTCGGAATCAACGCCAAGGAGCTCGTCTACGACGACGTTATTGCCATAGTTAAAAACACACGAGGCAACTCTGTATACGATGACATCCTACAAGATTAAAAGTAAAATAATAAAGTTAAATCAGTTGATTTGTAACATCCCGCCCTGGCGCTCCTTTCACTCCCGTTTGCCGTACCTTACATTCGGTTCTTCGGATTCTTCGGGTCGGGTGTGTTCGGGTTCGGGTCCCATGTGTTCGCGCCTGCGCACCGACCGAGCAGCAGCGAACAGTAAACAAACAAGCCAATCAAGGTGGAAACAAGGAGACCGACAAAAATATTAGTTTCCGTTGCAATTTTACGGCTTTTTGACTTCATTTACAGTTTTTAATTATTTCGCTTTTTTTTCGGTTTTGGCCGAAAATATCGAAGTTTTCAAGTTTCGGATTTCCATTTGAATCCTAACCATACTTTTACAACGTCAGGTTTGCTAAACAAGGACCATTATATTATTTTTGAATTGAAGACATGTCTGAAGAAAACTACCAGGATTCAGATAACTTCTGTTTGAAATGGAGCAACTATCAGGCTCATGTTCTTGGGGTTCTGGTGCAGTTGTTAGAGTCAGAATCTTTAGTGGATGTTACCTTGAGCACAGTCGATGGAGAGAAACTCTTTGCTCACAAAATAGTCCTGTGCGCTGCTAGTTCTTACTTTGAGGTAACCATAACACTCATGATACTTTT